TTCTAGTTCAGGTATGTGTTCAGATTTTTCAATGACAGCTAAAGGACATCTCTTGTAGGCACGTGAATATATGAATCTAGAAGAGGGGAGAGGAGAAATAGGGGTGACATCAAATGAAATCTGTGTAGCAACAGAAATGGCAAAGGTTAGGCCGGGGATATAGCTCAGTGGCACAGTGCCTACCTGGCAAATGCAAGATCTTGAGTTCGATCCTCTCATGCAAAAAAAAAAAAAAAAAGAAAAAAAGAAAGAAAGGCTAAAGTGAATAGAGGATATAATTCAACTAACAGAACGATATTACAATTCAGATATGAAGAGACAATAGGGTGGAATGGGTCTGTAGTCCCACCTACTCAAGAGGCTAAGGATGAAGGATCACTTGAGGCCAGGTGTGTAAGGCCAGCCAGAACAACACAGTGAAGCACTGTTGAAGATGATGATGACAATAATAAAGAATTTAGCTACAGGGCACACCAAAGCCTAAGAGACTGGCACTAGTTGGTTGGTTATAGAGAGAAGATACTCTACATAGGACAAAAGGAAAGCACAAAGCATCCCTTTCAATAGCCCAGAAACACACACAGGTCAATTCTATAAATTCACGTTGTATAAGGGCAGAGGCACAAAGTAGCTCAAGGATCCTTTCCTGGCCAGCGTGGTCAGTTCCTGGAATCATGAGATGGAGATTCACGTTGGTTTCCAACAGTCGTACTCATGTTCCCTGCCTGCTGGTGCCAAGGGACAGTCCCGGCAAATCTACTCAACTTGAGCCTGGGATTTAGCTCAGTGGCACAAGTGCCTGCCAGGCAAGCACAAGGTCATGAGTTCATCCCCAGTACCAAAAAAATAAGAAATAAAAAATCTACTCAACTTGTCCCTACCCAGTTTCTATGAAGGTCACCTAGCATGTGCGGTGTACTTGTAAACAGAGTCCAGACAAACTGTGGCTGGATGTCCACCATTCACATTCCACTTGCTAAGAATGTATGGACAATGCCAAAGTGGACACTGGAAGTGACTGCGACTTCCAGTTTCCCACCAGGAGCTACTGTGGCATATCACGTGGCGTTAGTGTTCTCCAATACTGTGAAAAGCCCACTGGGAGAAACTATTTAGCACACCCTGAACCTGAGCAGGGAAGCTTCTTACACCCCACGATCACTACCCTGCACAGTTGGATGTACCTGGTCCTATACTGGATGACTAATGACATGATCCCAGACTAATGCTGGATCCATCTGAATTCCGTTGTGCAAGTGATTTTACTTCTCTTAATACATGGCATAAAGTTGTTTACTCTGTCCAGATCACAGTCTAACCATCTAAAATAACTGTATATATGTATGTATATTTAAAAACTCACTTATTAGCCATCATAAAATAGCATTTATTAGATGAAAGAGTTCACATCAAATAGACATTATCACTGTTTAGACTGCAATCTAGAGCTGAGACCAATGAGAATACACCAAGAACAGTAAAACTGAAACATTAAACAAGAAGTGCATATAACATATTTCTGAGGTATCCAAAGAACTAGAGATTACAGCATAATCATAGGCTTATATAAATGAACATATATGTTGTATCCACTTCTTCCCTAGATTTTTCCATGCAGGGAAGGATCAGTTTTAAAAGACAAAGACAAAAGACCTATTGTCAGGCTTTGGAAAGATGAGTAATGGTCATCTTTATATCAGATTAATAGCTCTCATAATGTATAACATTAAAATAGATAAATATATACATTCTAACAAACATCATTTACTTTTAAACTGATGGTCAAAGCAAACATACTTTGCTAATGAGATCCCACAGGGATAACATGTTTAATGAACATTCGAAAGACTTTGAGATAAACTATAACCTATCTCTCATCTTGAATACATACACAATAAAATGCAACTTAAGAAAAACCTGCAGTTTCAGTGTGTATAATAATTTATGCTTTACTCACCCGAAGACTGCCATCTAATTATATAGAATTTCAAAAGACAAAGACTAAAAAATGACATTTACTGGGAGATGTCATTTGGCTTTAGTTTTGGGTTTTGTTTTGCTTTGAGATAGGGTTTCACTATGTAGTTTGCGTTGGCCTTGAACTCACTTTGAAGTCCAAGCTGTCTTTGAATTTGCAGCAATCCTCCTGCCATTGCCCACTGAGTGCTTGGATTATAGGTTTGTGGGACCATGCCCCACCTGGTTTTAGTTTTAACTCCCTCAATTATTGGATTAATCATTTTCAGTGTACACAGGGAAATGTGAATAGACTATTACCTGTAGTAAGAAAATTACAATTTTGAGCCCAATTCCTTTAATAACAGAATTTTACAACTTCTTATAGGCATTATTATGCCTATAATCCCAGCAGTCTGGTGGTTGAGGCAGGAAGATCAGCACAAATTTGAGATCAGCGTGGGCTACAATACAAGGGCAACCTGGACTATCTAGTGAAACCCTCTTAAAAGACAAAAAACTTTATAGCTTCTTAAATTATGCAATGTGAGCTGTTAGCATCTGAATTCCACTGGGAAAATTGCTGTTTTCAGCAAAGATGACTAACAGTACCTGATATTCCAGCCATCACTGAAAGGAACTATCTATTACACATTTTCCTCACTACATCAATGAAAGTCAAGAAATTTAAGAGTCAGTTTCTTAAGTACAGTGTGTCTCCTGCCATGTCATTTGTCCTGAAAAATGCAGCATATCAGCCACTCATAGAAGTAAAGTTTTGCATTTAGTTTTTAATCTCTATATTAACTTTTATCTAGTATATCTGTTAATAGCACCTACCATGATAGGCTATCTCTGGAGTTAAAAATCTTATGGAATTTGCCTCCATCAGTTAACAAAATATACAGGAGGATGAAAAAGCCATCACTGAAAAACTTGCCTGAATATCACTAGCAGGCATGCCTCTTCCTTCAACTCCCTGTGGCAAAGCAACTTGAAACATTAAACCTTGAAACTGGAAACCTAGACACATTTTTAATTGTTGCTTTATTGTGCACTTGTACCTAAAAACTTTGATTGGATATAATTCAAATTTCTATACAATTCAAAACATCTCAGACAGATAAAAATGCCTGTTTTAAATTTAAGACCCTGAAGCCCTGGCAGACTATTGCCCTGTATGCAGACTGGAAAGAGAAACAAAGAAGCAAGTCTGCCCCGATATACCAAGTACATGGTTTCAACTTTGGATCTGCAAATCAGAACCAAGACAAGAATGACAAAAGGTTGAGCTGGGCATGATGGCGCACTCATGAGGCTGAGGCTAGAGGACTGTTGTAAGTTCAAGATTAGCCTGGACTACAAAGTGAGTACCTAGCCAGCCTGATCTTGGGACCTTATCTCAAAAAGACAGGAAAAATAAACAAACAAAAAAAGAATGACAAAAGCGAAGAAAGTCAGCAAATGGGATCAGGCTGGTGGTTGTAGTTTTTCTCCACTCACCAACAGCTGTCTTCATGCCTCTAGAAAGTATTATGGGCTTAGCTTCCATAGCCAACTTCTTTTTATATATTCAGGCTTCAATCTGCTGTTCAGTAGAAGGGCTACCTTCCAGCAATTACTTTCAATCCAACTGGCCCTTCAGAAACCTTCAGTTTTACTTAAGATCTCTCAGCAATAACTGTACCCTTCTAATATCTACTTAAATAGACTAAGACCATTTTTACATCCCAATCAAGAGACCACAGAAATATTGTTTTTGATAGTATACAATTCCATACTATTTAACAATATTTTGCTCCAGTACTTACCTGTAATAACAGTGTCTAAAACTGTAAATGTGTTGTGTGTGTGTATGGATACAAGTGCACAGGGCAGCCTTCAGGGTGACCGTCCTCTCCTCCCTATTTAGCCTCTGGCTGACTGCCATGCTAAAACACTGTGTAGACTCCTGTTTACAGTAGTCCACCCTACAATGCAGGGTGTATTTTTTATTTTTACTTTTCCTCCCTTTTTACTGAGCCCAACTATACTCAGCAGAGCCTGTTTTTCCCTGACCCTTCTGTTTTTCCTACCTTTAATAAGTGTGAAAGTTTTCTAACATTAAAAAAAAATAGTGCGAATGCCACCAAATAATCAGTACCACAGAATTTGTAGCCTTTGGAACTACAAAACACCTAAGTTTAAGTGCTAGTTTTTTCACAGCGTGGTGTTTTGTGTGCTTGACCAAGTACTGACTTTTATCTATTGAGGGCTTCGGTTTCCTCATTTGTGAAATAAGAAAGTCCTTTCTCTATCACAGATTTAATCTCAAGACTAAATTAGATAATATATCTAAATGTCTTAACATGCTCACTAAAAAGTTTTGATTTTTCAAAACAAATCAAGTAATGTGCTTCAATAGAGATCTGGAGGCAAATCCCATAGAAAAGTGCAAGTCTACCCCACCTCTCCAAGTCAAGTCCAACCTCCATAAAGGGCTACAGTTAAGACAGCCCAAACACCTGGAAATTTACATGGAAAACATTAACTTCATACAAATACAGTATCACATTCATATAGTTATAACAGAAGTATAAAACAAGTATAAAAACATTCACTTATATGTGCAGAACTGGCAAAAACTTAGAAACCATATAAAATTAAAAGAACTCTAGCAATAACCTTCATTTTAATAAAAATTGAACTTTAAAAAAAAAGGTTTTTTTTTTACTGGGGGCTGAGGAGATAGCTCAGTAGTAGAGCATTTGTGCAAAGCCAGCATCACCAAAACAAAAACCAAAACGTTCTAGATGTCTCTCTGGTGTGTTCAAATGGAATCTGACGAGTAACTGCATTCAGATCTTTGCTTCATCACTAGCTATGTGACATTGCTTACACTTCCTTAGTTTTAAACTTGAAAATAACACTGCCTACACCAGGGATGTAATAAGAATTAAATATTACATGGAATGTATGTAAAGTGCTTAGCACTGTGCTTGGCACATAAACACTGTCTCCTATCATACAAATACTGAAAAGTCCAAGCATTAATGAAAACTTACTGTATTTACAGAGTATTTTTCCTGTGGGTTCGCCTATGAGTAATGAGACGTATATTTACTTTAAAACTCTTCCCACAAACAGAACATTTAAAAGGTTCCGCTTGCCTGTGGCTCTTCTGGTGGCATGTAAGTTCTAAATTTGAAGCAAAACTCTGTGCGCACGTTTCACATTTATAGGGCTTTTCTTCTGTGTGAATGTTCTGATGAGAGACAAGCTCGGAGAAACAAGGAAATGTCAAGTCACACTCAGGACACTGTAAGGGTTTGAATCTGGAGAATGAAAAAAAGTTTTCATCATCAATACCGTGTTGTTCAGAGTCTTCCTTGTAGCTCTTCTTAGGGAGACAAGGGTATGAAGGCTGTGTGAAGCTCTTCACACGCTGACTGTGCTGGGTTGCTGGTGTGTGTGTATTCTCAGGCAAAGCCAGATTTGTTTTCTGATCAAAAGATTTACCATGGTTTGAGTGTTCATATGCTTTTTCAGTAGTGTGGTTTTTCTGATGCTGTGCTAATCCTGGGAGCCACATAAAACCTTTTCCACACATATTACATGTGTAGGGTTTCTCCTTTACGTGGCTGTTCATGTGGCGGGACAGAAGAGACTGCTGGCGGAAAGTAGCACTACACTTAGTACACTTAAAAGGCTTCTCACCAGTGTGGATTCTCTTGTGTGTACTCAGGTTGGCTCTATAACTGAAGCTCTTCCCACAGTCACCACATTGATACTTTTTATCTTGTGAATGTATTTTCTGGTGCAAAACAAGATATGAGTTATCACTGAAGGTTTGGTCACATTCGGGGCACTTGTACTCATTTTTGGCTTCTTCCAAGGGAAATTCAAGAATTTCAGAAAGTGCTTTGACTCCTAAACATTGAGACAATTCTACTAATGGAGTATGATTTTCAATGGTAATTAAAAGGCTTCTTAACTTGCTCTTGTAAGTGGAAGTTCCACCTACTATTTTCCTTTCAAGGATTCCAACTGTATCTTCAGAGGATTTTTGTGGGTAATGGTCCAGAGGTGCAGCAATGGAGTAATTTTCTAAGGAAAGCTCTGCAAGTCCCAGAGACTCTAGGTTTAATTGCTCATTAATCTCAGTATTGCTTTCCCCTCCTGTTGATAAAAACAAAACAAAGTGAAACATAGGTAGCACCTTTAAGTAATATTAGAGAAAGAACAAGCTACAGTAGTTACATAGAAGAGCAAGAAACTACAAATGAATTATAACCCCGATGCTGATAAATATACAAAATATACAAAATGCAGGTTCTCCTGACTTCTCAAAAGATCCAGTTCCTCAGGAACATGCAAAGGCAAAGAGCAGAGAATGCACAGTCATGGTCCAATAACAGGAACTAAGGACAGTCTTAGACATTGTCTAGAGGTATAGTGTTCTATTTAATCCATTTAGATTTCAGGAGTTTTTCATTATTTAAACTACCTCAAATGACAAGGAAACAATCCAGAACTGGAATGGATATAAGATTCACATTTATCCAAAAAGAAGAAGGCAGGTAGGTGAGGTGGCACAGGCCTATCACCCCGGCTACTCAGGGAGCTGAGACAGGAAGATTACAAGTTCAAAGTCAGCCTGGGCAACTTAGTGAGACTATTTAAACCTAAAAAAGGGCCTGGGTACATTGGTGGAACTCTTGGCTAGCACATGTATAAGTTAATTCCACAGCAGTGTAAAATGAAAACAAATCAAAAGAAGGCACGTGAGTATTTTTGTTTTTTTCAACTGAGGTGTTGCTAAGTAATCAAGGTTGGCCCTGAGCTTGTTAAGTAGCCTAGGCTAGCTCTGAACTCTTCATCTTCCTGCCTCCGCCTCCTGAAGGCTAGAATTGAAGTTGTGTGCCACTCCCAGCCTAAATGGGTATTTTTCTACTTTAACAAGAAGCACACAGGTTACCAAAAATAGTTTTATTATCACTATAGGTGTCTCTAAAATATTTTGCTAGTAAATTACCCTTATTAGGTGTGGTGGCACATGCCTATAATCCTAGCACTTGGGAGGCTGAGAAAGGAGGATTGCCACAAATTTGAGGTCAGCCCGTGCTACATAAGTTGAAGGCTGGCCTGAACTACATAGTGAGACTTAAAAAAAAGAAATCTTTAAATCTTCATCAAGGAATGATGATTACACTCATGCTGCTGTGTTTATGCAGGCAAATAATGGCCAGTCTTACCTCATAGATAGCTGACAGAATCTGGGCCTGCCCAAAAGAATTTCTTTTTTAGTAATTTTCCTAATACACCTAGCACTCCATATCTGTGAGTTCTGCATCTGTGGATTTAGCCAACCAAACACTGAAAATAATCAAACCAAAAAATTGCATCTATACTGAACATGTACATTTTTTCATGTCATTATTCCCTGAACAATATAGTATAATAATTCCACATTGCATTTACATAATATTAGGTATTACAAGTAATCTAGATGTGACTTAAGTACACAGGAAGATGTTCATAGATTATATGCAAATAACATGCCATCTTGTATAACGAACTTGAGTAATCTGCAGATTTTAGTATCCTTGAGGAGGGCAGTGTTCTGCAGATACAACGGAAAACTATTCTTATTTATAAACCCGATATAGTAATACAAAAAGGGATCCTTCCTTCCTAAGAAATAAAGTTCAATGACTATTTCAGTTCACTGACTTGAAAGGATTTCTGTATGGGTAACATATGGAGATTAAAGTAGTACCCAGTGGTCTTGTTGACTTGAGGAATATTGACTTCAATGATGTGGGGTGCAAAGGCCACTAAAATTTGAGAGCAAAATAATAAAACAATAGCTGCCCATAAAGAGAGCTGAGAAAACCTGCAGAGGGTCCCTTTAAGACTTGCTGAGTACTAATCTGCACACACAAGAAAACTATCCAAAGCCATGATAAGAATCACCAAAAAGGAATATACAGAATAACTAGTTTACATTCCTACTGGCCAATGTAGAAAGACTGTCCTTCTAACACACAAGACATCAAGCAGTCAATTCAGAAAAATAGTGCTGTAACAGTAGGCCAGCCAGTTCAGGTAAGGAAGACTTGGGATAAAAAAAAAAAAAAAAAAACAGTAGGCCAGCCAGGCAGGATGGCACGTGCCTGTAATCCCAGCACTCAGGAGGCTGAGGCAGGAGGATCGCTGGAGTTCAAGGCCATCTGGAACTGCACAGTGAGAGCTTGTCTCAAAAACAACAAAAACCCCCAGCAACAACAACAAAAAAAAAACAGTAAGTCAAATTAGCATTAGACTGAAGGCTGATCTAAACCTGCCTAACAATGTAAAAAAGCAAACCCTGGAAGGATCAAACCCAATCCCAAGTAACTCTTTTCTTTTTTTTTTTTTTGTTTTGTTTTTTGAGGTAGGATCTTATGTAGTTTCAGGTGGGCCTTGAATTTGTAGCTTTGAACTTTGTGGTGACTGTCCTGCCTTCACCTCCTGAAGGCTGGGATTACAGATATGCACCAGCACAACCAACTCAACTCCAAGCCACTTTAACGCATTTGACAACAAAGTTCAAAAATATTTTTTAAAAAATCCAGTAAACAGCAACATAAAATACACAAAGTCTAACATCCAACAACAATTTATACAGGATATATAGGAAAATATGGCCAAAATTTAACAGAAGAATATTAAAATATACTCTGTATGTTCAAAAAGATAAAGGAAAACATGAACATGATAAAGACAAGTGGAAGATACAAAATATGAATTATGAGATAGTTTTGTTACTTAGCTCCAGTCAGAGGTAAAATCTAGTCAGGCATAGGAATACTACATATAGTCACTTTTAAAAGGGAAGCTATACTATACTAACTGGGTTTTCCCAGTAAAACTGTAAATTTGACTGCAACAAATTCTTGGGAAGATCATCACATATTGTATGCAACCATAGTCACTGTACTAAAATTGGTCTTTTAGAAATCATCTCTCATTGGGCGTACTGGCATATGTCTAATTCCAGCACTTGGAAGAAGGCAGAAGGATCACTGCAAGTTCAAGGACAGCCTACACTACATAGTGAGTTCAAGGCCAGCCTGAACTACATAATGAGGCTGTCACACACACAAAAAATGATTATCTCAGATTTTGGAACTTATTCCCCCCTTCCCGTTTTGGGGGGGGGAACTTCTTTCATAAAACTTCTTACCATATCATATATAAGATGTGATGGAAATACATAGTGAATGTTTAAATTTTTTTTTTTTTTGTCTTTTTCGATTTTATCGGTACCAGGGATCGAACTCATGACTGCCTGCTTGCAAGGCAGGCGCTTATGCCGCTGAGCTAAATCCCCAGCCCCGAATGTTCAAATTTTTAAAAATTTATTATAGTAAAAGTATTGCCATTAATTAATCCCCCTCAAAATACTCCACTCTCCTTGAACACACGTATCCCATCATTCTTGCCACTTTCTAAAGCAGTTCTGAAGTCCTCTTTCATGAATCTCTTCAGTTGTGCTATTGTGACTGCTTCAGTGTTCTGAATCAATTCAAAATGTTTACCTTTCATGGTCTCCATTTTCATGGAGAAGAGCCAGAAGTTAGAGTGGTAGATCAGGTGAATAAGGGAGATAAGGCTGCACCCTCATGTTTTTATAATCCTTTCTGTTGGACAGCACTCAGCATCAGCACTCATCATATTTTCAATTACATCTCATAAAGACATAAAAGAGAACTTCTAGAATGACTTCAGAGAGTGGCAAGAACTATGGGCTAAGTGTATTTGAAGTGAGGGGGAGGTATTTTCAATGGAATTAATGGCAGTGTATCTTTACTGTAATAATTTTCTTTTTTTTTGTTTGTTTGTTTGTAGTGCAGGCTGCCCTTGAGCTCATTATGTGGTCCAGGCTGGCCTCGAACTCACTGGAATCCTCCTACCTCAACCTTATGAGGGCTGGGATTACAGACATGCAGTACCACACCTGGCCTCCTAATGAATTCTTTTTTTTTTTTTTTTTTTTTTTGGTGCCAGATATTGAACTCATGACCTTGCCCTTGCCAGGCAGGCGCTTATGCCGCTGAGCTAAATCCCCAGCCCTGAATTCTTAAACTGTAAACACTATATATTTTGATCCCTTGTAAACTTCCCAGGAATAGGTCCAACCTTACCATAACAACTGTACACAAGACATTAAAATCCTCATCCTAGAACCGATGAATGTTCAAAAACGCAGGAAAAACTGCCTTACCCATCAAGGCCACATCCTCGAAACTCTCCTGGGTGGCCTCTCTGCTATGAGATCCCTGGGCAGGATGCAGAGTTACACATTCCTCTTGAGAAAAATACACAGCCAGATCATCAAACAGTACTGGCTCCTGAAACAACATGAGAGACCATCTCAGTACAAGAGGTTAATGGGTCAAGCCCTCCCTCAGTGTGGGATGACTGATAAAAGCTGAAAAGATGAGATGCAAGAGAGCAAAGGCTTCAGAGAAAAGGTTCCTTAGTGCTGAGATAGGGTATAAACAGGTTTTAGGGGTGGGTTCAGAAGAAAAGAATAAACATGGTCACATGTTTTGAGGCAATAGTAAAAGGATCACGACAGTATACCGCGAGAATGACATCTTCCCTGGAAAAGATGAGAACTGTCGAGGAGGATAACCATTAAGTAAGGATGCTCTAAGAGAAAGGAGGAAAAATCATGAGACAGAAGTTCCAGGAGTCTTCCACCATCCTTCCTCTGCCCACTCTATTCCTCCCCTAAATTTACTGGTTCTTTAAATTAACTAGACCGAAGTGTGATTAAGAATCATCTGGGCTTTATTATTGTTATTGTTATTGTTATTATTATTATTCAACAGATATAGAGACTAGAAATGTGGAATTTTGAGAAGCATTCCAGAAAGTCACTTTAGAAAACTGTTATAGACCCCTCCCAAGGACAGTGTTCCCCCGTTGTAGTTTTGAAAAGAGTAAGCTGGTAAATCACTTCTATGGACAGACACCTGGCATACAAGCACATTTGGGTCTAATTCCCCGCCGCGGTCGTCAATCAGGTCGAGGCCGGGAAACAGTGACACACCGCACAGTGGGAAAAGACTCCTAGGCTCACCTGGGGTTCGGATGTCGGGAGCGTGGACGCCATCTCGGGTGTGGAGAAACCGTCTTCAAGTCGCCATAGGAATGTCTAGACAAAGCTGCCAGGGGAAAGAAAAGTCCTTGGTGTACCCCGAACCTCCCTGAATACCCTCAGAGTACCCGAACCTTCCTCAGTACGCTCAAACGCCTCTGAAAACCTGAACCGAATGCTTCTCTCCAGCTCATCCCCGAAGGATGCTCACTTACGGCTGCAGGAGTAACGACAGCCCCTCCCTACCGAGGCAGGAACAACAGCAAACGACGCCCAAAGGACAGGTGATAGCGATAACGGACGCCACGGTCACCACAAAACTCCCACGCTCCCATACTACCCACGCACGGGCTGCAAGGAAGCCGCCGGAAGCCCTGGCCAGCAGCCGCCGCTGCCTTGCTGCACTTTGATTGGCCGGCGTGCCCCCAGGGGGCTGACCGTCTTCTTAATGGGCCAATCCAGCAATTTAAACGAGGACCGGTACCTCTCCCGGCACCTGCAAGAAGATACTCCTGCGGTTCTACCCGCGAGTGTTTACGTCTCTCCCTACAGGGTCTCCTCCGTGAGATCAGGACAGTTGACCTGCTCAAATGCAGCCTTAGGGTGACTCCAGAGGGACGTGATGTTTCTTCTAGGGAGAAAAGCAAGAAGACAGACTCTGGAACTCAAAAAAGAGTTGGTAACGAATTGTGGGAGTTTCGAGCAGGGCCTGCTGGGTCTGAAACGTGTAGGTTGATGAGAGGACTGGGATGTCGGTTCCGGTCTTTATCGGAGCGGCCTCTGTGGCTTGGACAGATCGTGGGGTGGAATGTAAAAGGGTATCTTTCTGCGCTCATAAGGTTCCGATCCTGGTAGGCCTGGTTTCCGACTCAGCATTCTAGGGTGTGGTGCATTGCGTCCACCACTGAAGCCTGAACCGATACTGGGAACCACAGCGGACCTCAATCGGGAGTAGAGCCACCTGTTTGCTTTCCAAGATGTTGGTCACTTCACATTTGCCTTTCTCCTGTGACAGACGCGGCCCATATTGTAGATATTGGGTGACGTGGTGTAGCGAGATTGGGGATTAGAAAACTGCCACAAATTGCTTGGGTGATTTGGGGCAATTTTTAAAGGGAATCCCGGCCTTTGGAAGGCTGAGCTTTTGAGGATCGCTGCGAGTTCCAGACCAGCCTGAACTGCAGGGCAGGACACTGTCTCAAAAAAAAAAAAAAAAGAGTTTTTTTTAAAAAGTAATTTTAGGGCCGGAGTTTAGCTCAGTGGCATAAGTGCCTGCCTGGCAAGCCCGAGGTCATGAGTTTGATCCCCGGTACCAAAATAATAATAGTAATAATAATAAAATAAAATAAGTAATTTTAAAAAGGGGTAATTTCGAAGATTATAAAATGATGTTAAGTGAATGGAATTTTCAGTTTATAAATGTGTAGGACAGAAGGAGAAAAGACAGAGATAATAGGTTCCTTGAAATTTCTGAATACATTTCAACATATTTTCTTATTTTACTTGGGGAATGATTGTACGGTTAATGAAACAATATTACGAGAATTGAGAAGTATTGGTGTTTGGTGAAGTAGCAGATAGGATAGCTTCGGCTGCAACAGAAAACCACAAAAAATGGTGTTCAAAGGGCATTTGGTTGATTCAGTGGCTCAGTGACACCATCAACAGCCCAATGTTTTCATGTGTTTTTGTCAACCATAGCAGTTTGGTGAAAGTGACAGTGGCATCGATATAATACGTACAGACATGTATTGTGTCATGCACTCATCTTAAGCCAGTCATTATCAAAATGAAAGACTGGCCTGAGATTTAGCTCAGCGGTATAAGCACCTGCCTGGCAAGTGCAAGGTTGTGAGTTTGATTCCTCATACCAAGCATGATGGTTAGCCATCATGCTTCATAAGGACCTGTACCCTTCTCTGGCCATTTACTACACAAAAATCAAAGCTCTGTTGGAAATGGAAAAATTTTTTAAATAGAAAAAGATAACTGTATTTTACAGGTAATATCTGCTAACAGCCAAGCAGTAGTCATTGTGGAAAGGGATTACAAAAGAGGTACTTGAGAATCCCAGATGAAGGAGAATAGTGCTTCTAGAGCACCAAGAGAATGATAAGAACCATTTGAAGCATATATGCTCAAGAAGATTAAAAGCTTACTATATATTGAGGCCTAGGTAAACAAGATTATCTGTCTCCCAGCTTCCATGAGAGGCTGAGCACTTAAAGAACTAGTGTTCACTGATCTCTAGCCTCTTAGGGAGGGAATAATGGCTGCATCTTATGTGAACAAATTTTACTTTCACCAAAAACAAGAGACACTCATTTCAAAGCTAGTTTAGCCTCTAGCTTCATGAGAAAGAGGCCTTGAACTTTAAAATGTATCTCCAACACATTAATGCCATTACCAGAAACCATCTTTGCTATGGGTCAGCTCCAGCTGAATTGCTTTTCAGTCACTGAAACCAGAGATGCTTCCAGTGAAGAATTGTACCAATTAATTCTGGCACCAATTCTTTTTTTAAAAAATTAATTCTTTAAAAATACAAGTTTCAGTGAGAGACTCTTGGAGGGTTAAGATTAGACACAATGAGAACAGAAAAGAAACAATGGATTGGAAAATAAAGGACTACACACTTATGTAATTCTTTACCCAGAGAATCCATCAGATTCTGATATCAGGGGTTTCAATACCTGAGACTTACTGGCCTAGGAATTAGAGAGAATGGCCAGTGCCTTGACACTTCCTATCCTGCAGTATACAGAAAAGCTAAACCTCAAAGGCATGGAGCCAGCCTGAGAGGGGAGAAGAGTTACAAAGAGGGAGTCAAACCTGTGTCTGTTGGAAACAATACCCTAATAGAGTAAACTTACTTAAGTGAAACCCATTTGACCTGCCAATCATTAAAAAAATTTTTTTAATTATAACACTGAGTTATAAGATCTTAGTAAAGGTTTTCACTTGGTAGGAGGGTAAATGATTAAATACTTTCATTAAGCAAGACAGGAATATGCATATTCCATTCACTCTGCAAGGAAATAAACATCTGGTTTAAGCATCAGAACCTGTGAGTTTGATTGGTAAGCCTGGTCTCAGGGTACGCTAAGGTACTAGTACAGAAATGACCTTCTTTGTACTGTCTGGTAGGGGCTTATGTGGCCACAAGGTCATCTTCTATTTCTGCTTTGGCTCTTACTGCAGGAAAGTGGTATCATCCTGGGTGGTCCATTTTATACCTTTACATCATTTCACACCAAAAGAGAATTTCTGGGGACTGGGGATATAGCTCAGCAGTACTGTGCCTGCCTGGTAAGGGCAAGGTCATGAGTTCTATCCCAGCAAAAAAAAAAACAGGAGGAGGAGAAAAATTTCTTTGAAAGCAAAATATGGTTTGGATCCATGCAGATATTAACAAACCCTTATAACCATGAATCTGGATAATTTAATCCGGCTTATTCCAGTCTCATGAAACCTTTCAGCTGCCCTGGGAATGGTCCCATGGTGATCCAAATTCACTCAGGCAGAGCAGATGCTAGGCAACAAGCTGATCATCCACAAAGTTTTCCATGAAGTAGTTTCTTCATGGTTTGTTTCTAGGCCACTTTAAAAGATGTTCTCAGAAATCTCCCTGAAAAAACTGCTTTTGGAAACTCATGACTTTCCTCCTGGTTAAGTCACGAAAATTGCAATCTAAGTGAAGGATCATTGGCTTTTAATGATGAACTAGTTTATTTTGATGATCAGTTTTTTGTTTTCATTGTTTCTTGGCTTTCATCTTTCATCATGGGCACTCAGGGCTGCCATGGGGAAGAAGAGCTTCATTTTGCATGCAATTACAGGCTTTGTGTTGTAAAATGGGGGCAGCAATACCTAACTTTCAGGATCATAGAGGAAGTAAGGGAAAACATACTGAAAGGTCTAGCACACAGTGTTTAGCACATAGTGGGCCCTTAACCAAATATGCATACACCCATATTCCGTTCTAGAAGTTCCATTGTTTGCACAACAAATGCCTGTGTTGAAATCTTTATAAAACCATAATCCGACACGTCCAAGACTGTGTGTCCTTATGACAGGCCAGGGTGCCTGGCCTCTTTAAATGAGGACAGAAGGAAAAGAATTCAAAGTTTGGCCCTCATCTGACTCACACTTGTTTTTTTAATTATAAAAATATAATGCTTGTCCATGTAAATAATATCTTCTGGAAGGATACCAGGAAAATGATAAACTCTGATTACCTAGAAATCTCTGGTACTCATATTTCTCTTATTAATTTATTCTTTGTGACAGGTTCTTGCTATGTATTTCAGGCTGGCCTTGAACTCACAGTGTAGCCCAGGCTGGCTTTGAACTTTCAGGGATCATCCTTTCTTAGTTTCCTGAGTGCTAGGATTGTATGTGTGCACCACCTCACTTATTTGGTTTTTGTTTGTTTTGTCTTTTTGAGACAGGATTTCACTATGCAGTTAAAGCTGGCCTTGCACTCACTTTGTAGCCCAGGATGGCCTCAAACTTGCAGCAATTCTGCCTCAGCCTCCTGAGTGTTGGAACTACATCCATGTGCCACCACGCCTGGCCCACCACATTTAAATGTACATTTGACTTGCTATGTTATCAACCTGTAATATTTATCAGGCTGTAATCCTTTCATGAGTTAAGCAGCATCTATAATCAGATGTTCCCTCTTGGTTTGGTGGTACAGACTTGTCATTCTAGGACTCAGGAGACTGAGGCAAGAGGGTTGCCATGAGTTTAAGGCCAGTCTGGTCTACATAGTGAGTACACCTGAACTGCAGAGTGAGACCCAGTTCCCCCCATTGCCCCACCAAAAAAAACTGTTCCCATGTACAAGGTTGTGAGTTGCATGATTTGAATGTCTGGGTATTAGGGAAAACAGAAATCCCTTCTCTCTCTCCCCAGCTGCATTCCATCTTCTCCTGAATAGAGGCAGGAATAGGGCCATAGGCCAGTGACATCCAGATGGGAAGCTTTAGGATCACTCACAGACTAAGAGAGTAGCATTAAGTCCAGATGTGACACCTGCCTATAATCCCAGCACTTGGGAGGCTGAGCCAGGAGAATTGCCACGAGTTTGAGGAAAGCCTGGGCTACATAGTGAGTTGAAGACCAGTGTGTACTACACAGCAAGATCCTGTCACAACCACCCCCCCCCCACCAAAAAAAAAAGCAACCCTGGATTTTGTTCCTCCATGGCCAAAACAATAATGTGGGGTAGGAGCTGAGGATTTTAACTCAGCTAAAATAACAGCCTGCCTGCCTCTACTGCCTTCTAGAATGGAATACAGGTGTATGAGCTCAGCCTGCCTCTACTGAGGCACACCTGCCTGGCAAGTGTGAGGTTATAAGTTCAATCTCTGGTACCAAAAAAATAAATAAATAATGTGGGGTAGCTGGGCACAGTAGTGCATGCCTGTAATCCCAGCTACTTGAAAGGCTGAAGCAAAGAGGATCATACCTTGGACAACTAAGTAAGATCCTGTATCAAAAAAAAAAAAATTACTAAGGTTGTAGCTTAATGGGTAGCATGCCCCTGAATTTTATAGTCACTATCAAACAAAAACCAAAACCCTGGGTATGATGAAGAAGGGCCATGAGTAAACATTAAAATGCCTAGATTTCTGGAGAGATTTTGGCTTTGTGAAATCCTTGGGACTTCACAAAGAAAGGGCAGAGCCTGTCCATGTAATACTACTTTAATCCTCTCCCTGGGCCAGAAGATCCTAATTATATCCCTGTCTCCAGAGTTGGTTTGGGTACTGTCAATTTGAAATCCATCCATCAATCAGTGGGTTGGAAAAGCAAACTTGTAGGTGTTTCTGGGTGGGTCATAAGGCTTGGGCTTGAAATTTGTATCTGGTTCCTGGCTTCTTTCTCTCTGACACTGCTACTCTGCTTGCTGAGTGCTATGAACTAAGTAGCTTTACTCTGTCACACTATGATGTTCCTGCCTTGGAGCCAGTTGACCACTGACTGAATCCTCTTAAGCCAAATTAAACTTCTCCTTTAAATTGTGCCCAACAGTGAGAAAGCTGAAGTACAGTTGTGCAGCTGAGAAGGCTTTCCCTTCAAGGGCCGGCTTGGTGTGTCCAGATTACAAGAAATTCCTGGCTTTTTACCATTAATAGTGCCTTTAAGTGTCTCTGCTTATCCAACACTAGAGGGTGAATAGGTCATGAGTAGGCAAGAGAGAAACAATAATATGCTTGATAATACACTTAGAGCCAGAGAGAGAAGAAACAACTCTTAGAACAAGGGCTCCTGGAGAAATAGACCTTGGAGAGACAGATGGCAGCTTTGCCCAAGTTCCACAACTGAAAGAGTTTCAGATGCAACAAAACTTTCATTTTAGAAAGAGAAAATAGTAATCTCAAAGTTCGTAGCCCATAGGATCAAGTGGAATATGTCAAAACACCACAGAGAGAATGAAACCAGGAAGGCAGGAGCTTACAGGATCATCAGTACTGTACTTTGAGCTGACTGGGTCATCCTTGAACCAGTCCTAGTGACTAGGGGATGCCCCTCCTTGTCGTGCTTCTGCTGGGGCTATCCGAGCTAATCATGGAGTCACATGAGAAAGGGATGACCCAAACTAATTAAACCATTGAGGATCACTTTGAAACAGGAAGATGCGGTGGAATTTAGAGGATGACTACCTTGAATATCCCTGTAGTAGCATATGGTAGCGTTTCCTGATCATGAGATCTTGCACTCCTGTGGGTGTATATGGGAAACCCTGAGGAAAGAGTAACTTCATTTGTGATTTAAAAGTGTTTTTAAAGATGGACTGGATATATATGCTCTTCTTAGCCAGTTCATATCATAGTGCTATACATAGAACCCTGGAAACAACAGAATGTCCTTAATTGGTGATTACACTTCATATGGGGATCTTTTTGAGTGCCAATTTTGACTTAAATGAAAATTCTGATTCAATCTATATGGATGAGTCCTGAGATTCTGTCCCCACCCTTGCACTGGACTGGGATTTGAATCCAGGGCTTTCACACTGACCTACATTCTCAACTCTTTTATTTATTTTTTATTTTGAAATAGTCTTACTAAGTCGCTAAATAGCCCAGGTTAGGCTGGAACTGGGGATCCTCCTGTCTCCGCTCCCCTTCCCCCCGAGAATGCTAGGATTACAGGTGTGTATCAACTCACTTGGCTGGAATTGTGCATTTTTCAAAGTCTCCAGCTGATGCCGAATCACAGCCCACACTGAGAAGCAAGGACCCAGGTATGGTTTTGTCTCTTAAATTCATGAACCATGTGCTAGCAAGTTGTAAAAGGCAGAAAGGAATGGAGAGCAAGCAATTTTCTTGACTAGGAAGATTCTTATGTGGATTCTTATAAGTTATCTGAAGCAAAGAATAAATTTGTTTTAAAATTTCGTCCCAACACAGATTACCTACTAACAAAATTGTAAATTCGTTGATATAGAACCCTCTCTTAACCTCAGGGGAAAAACCTGTCTAGTTGTCACCTGCCTAGTTTGCAGTGACAACCCCAACCTTCTGTCTCCTCCTGTCAGCTCAGGAGTGTGACGCGGCCGCGGGGCTGTGCTTTTTGGGCGGGGTACCACTCGACAAGGCTTTGTGCTGTCACGTTTGCTAGTGTCGTCTAGTGTCGTCGCAGGGCCCAGCAACAGTGGCGCCCACATCCCGGTACCCCAGTGTGAGCTGGGGAAGTGTTGGGCATGGGTAGCAGCCTTCCTGAAACCCGCACGCGCGACCAAGGGCCTGGGGACATCAGCCTGCCTCTACTGAGGGCGGGCAACCAGCGATCCTTGTCCTTTGCTTCAGTTCGCTGGTTTCCAGTGAATGCGACCCGGCCCACTTCCAAGATGGCGGCAGAAGCGTCACGCCGGGCGGTGTAGCTTGGGGCGGCGACCAATGGGCTTCCGGGCTCGGCCGCCGGTGGGGCGCGGGAGGCGGAAGTGCGGTGGGCATCCGCCTCCGTCCCGGCTGCGGCCCCAGCCTGTTACATAACGCTTTTCGGACTGCGAGTGGTCTCGGGTCTCATCTCCCTTCGCCCTCAGGATGCACTGAGCCCTGCGACGCCGCCCGTGGCTGCGGCCGGCTCCCGCCAGAGGTGAGGCGGTGGGGGTGGGGCGGGGGCAGGGAGGTGACACTGGAGTGGCACCCAGCAGGGGAACTGCGAGGGGCTGGGCCGAAGGCCGAGCGCTTCCCTTGGAGGTGGCCCAGCCTGCGGATCACTTTCGGTGGCTGCGACCAGAGTTTGAAGGCAGGCGAGCATCGTGGTGGAGGCGCTGGCAGGTGGCGGCCCTTTTCTTGGGGCCGTTTCTGTGCTGGGCCCCAAGGTAAGTTGTCCTGGAAATTGGAAATAAAAGAGCGATTTGGGTGGTACCCAATGGTGTCACTGGAGGTAAAGGGTCCGGCCTGCCTGTTTCAGCCCCGCCTCTCCTGACCCTTCCTTCCGTGTGGTACTTGTCGAGTCGGGGTAGTTGTTTGCTGACTTGTTTGCCCTCCTCCAAGCTCTGAGCTCTGGCTTTCCACCCTCTGCCTTTCAGTCTCCCCGCCTACTGTCCCCGCTATACTTTTTGGTATTAAGACAAATGCATGCTTTCCATTCCAGTTAGTTTATAGTGCAGCCATGCCAACCCTCTACAACGACTCCAACTTCTTCCAAATTAAGCACTTGCCGAGAAGCAAGAAGAGAGTTGGTAGTTTGTATGATTTGACCCATTGGGAAAATTGGGGGCGAAGGGAAGCTAGCAAGTATCTGTGTGCCCCGCTGGTGTCAGAGCCCAGGCCTGGAGGATCAAGCAGTGAGGTATCCTGCAATAAATGTGAACTTTGGCTGCTGCTTTAATCTCTTTCCCCTTGGCCAAGTCCTTAGGTCATGTGCTTTTTGTCACTCATGTCATTCCTTGATCCTGAAAGAAAAGTCTAACAGCCAATCACTGAAGAGAGTGTTGCCAGTTGCAAAGATTTTACCAAAGCACAGAAGACATAGAATCCCTAGTTAATGCTTACCTAACCATGTAGGCAGTTATGTGATTCCAAAGGTTTCTGTGCAAACACAGTAGTCCAAGTAAAACCAACATTGAGAAGAGTTTTGGAGGTCCTGTGGCCATTATAGTGGCTGACTGGGCAACAAGAGCAGGTCTTTTGTATCATTGACTTAAAAAGGAGCAAAGATGTCAAATAGATCCACTCCTAAAAACACACATGCATAAATGTCAATGAATTGTTTTAAGCTCCATTAAGAGATGAGATTAAAAAACTAGAAGTAACCCTAGAGCTATCTTTCCAGGCAGTCCAGTCACATCAAGGAACGTAAGTTTCATCCCTACCCTAACATTTGTTCCCATCAAAAATTATGTGCAAGATAATAAAGCACTAAGCTTACCATGGGAGAGTGACACGAGCCAAAGATTCCCTTTCAGAGGAGCTCTAAATTTATGGATAAGTTACTGAAATTAAATGATGGCAGACATGTCCAAGGAATAGTTCAAGGATTTGATCCCTTTATGAATCTTGTGATAGATGAATGTGTCAGAATGGCAACTGGTGGGCAAAAAAACAATATTGGAAGGGCTGGGGATTTAGCTCAGCAGCATAAGCAATATTGGAAAGTGATAATAAAGAAATGGTATCATTGTGTTGGAAGACTTGAAACAAGTTTAAAATGACTGACGTAAGTGGAAAAATACAGCCCCTCTTCAGAGTGCTGAAAATTGGGTTATACATATTTTCATATTAAATTTTTTTGTTAAACTTTTATAGTAGTAAAAAAAATAATGTGTAAATCAGCTCTTTCAATATGGGGCCTGCATGGTTGACTCCACAACTTTGTGGTTTGCTATGAGTTTCATTTTACAGACTTAGCAGACATGCTAGGTTTCTGTGAAGATGATTAAAACCTGTCACAAAATCAGGTGAAGTCTGGTGTCAGCATGGAAGCATAACTCACACAGTTTTTTCACATCTTCTCTGTGTCCTATCTTTAGCCTCTTCTGGTTGTAACTTAAAGTGACCTTGTCACTGTATTTGTTTTAAGCACATCCCTGTGCAGACAGTGTGGAGAGAGTATCTTTAAATGTGGCTTGTCCAGTTTGCTTAGCAACAGCATGCTTCTGACCAGAGTAGGAGAAAATTCCTGGATGTCAGGTGATTTGTACAAAAGATTCATTTGAAATGAGACCAGGAAGGATGATGATGTCATTAATGATAGGTTGTTCATGCCCACACACACTGCCCCTGCCTCTGGTAGTCAGAATTATTTTGATCAGGTAGATATAAAATCCTTACCTTGCAGTCACAGGGAACAGACATAGTCCTCAGAACTCTTGAGTTCAGGAACCTCCTATTTTGCTCTGCTGGAAATATGCCGGAGAGCCCATGTAACCCTGTGTCAAGTCTCTCACTTTTAATAGAATGTGGCTGCCTACCAGAGGCTTTTTTTTTTTTTTTTTTTCCTATGGTGGTGACACTAGGGACTGAACCCATGAGTGCTTTACTGAACCCACGAGAGCTATATCTTCACCTCTTTTTGTGTTTTGAGACAGAGAGGCTCACAAGTTCCCCAAGCTGGCCTTAAATTTGTGATTTTCCTACCTCAGCCTCTCAGTGGATTACGGGTATGTCCAACTGCACCCAGCTTAGATGTGTCATCTCTTAAATGGTGGTTCCCCCACACCTACATCTTATATCCATTACCTTCTAGAAGAAATGCGTAAAGCTCATATGTGTTTGACCCCTCAGATCCTCTTTGTAGAAAGCAAAGCTAGGGTGTGAGCTCTGCTCTGAAACTGGTTCTGCTTTTGTTGTGGGAAGTGCTTTCAAGTACTATACAATGATTGCCTGCAAATGATGCTGGTAGTGCCAAGTCTCTTTGAGGATTAGGTCAAATGCTAAATCTGAATCACCAAGTAGTTGTAAATGTCTTTGATGGCTCCTTCCTTATATCCTTTTTTTGTTTTATTTTGAGATAAGGTCCTCCTATGTAGTTCAGGCTGGCCTGGAATTTACTATGGTTGATCTTAATCTCCCTTCTGCCTCAGCCTCGCAAGTGCTGGGATTAAAGGTATACATCACCGTGATCCACTGACTTTTTTTTTTTTTTTTTTTTTTTTTTTTTTTTGGCGGTACTGGGGATGAACTCACAACCTCACACTTGCCAGGCAGGCGCTTATGTCACTGAGCTAAACCCCCGGCCCCCTCCCCCGACATATTCTTTTTAACATGACCTTAAAAGGCGCTGGTTGGCAGAACAGTTCAGGGTGTCTGGAAAGCCCACATATATCACGGCTAATTAAAAAATGACTTGTATGTTTGAGCACCAAATGTGCACTTTCTATTAGGTTCATATTGTGCTACCAGCACTATGATATTTGCTCAGTGCTTGTGGAGTGAGAGGAAGAGGTCTGAATGGGGAGCCAGAGCTTCCTGCAGGAAGTGGCTTGGGGGCCCATGTCAACACTGAGTAATGCTTTGGGCGGCTGCTGGAGTATCCGGTGAGAAGGTTTGACAGTCACCCCAGGGTAGTCACAGCTCAGAGATTCGAGATTATCAGGTTGTAAGGGAAGTGAGCAAGTGGTGATTATCCCCTTATTCTGCTGTTTAGCAAGTTGGATCCCCCCACTGTTTTCTTCCCAGGCAGAGTCCTAGAAGAGCACATAACTCCCCAAAATGATAAGAACTATCTGTGAGTGTGACAACATGTTTTCAAATGTCTCTCTAAAGTATAATCACCTATTTTACCCTAGAATAGACTTAACACTGACTTTTAAACCCAGCACCCTAAGAATAGCATAGCATTTTAGGCACTGATGCCAGAAATAAATGTAAACACAGATTTTAAAGTTCCAAGGAATTAAAAAGGAAGTGGTTGTGGACAGGGACACAAAAGATATTGGAGAAAGTCTTTTTTTTCCTTTGTTTCCACATGAAGACAAAATAATAGTTTGTCATTTTTAATAGATCATGTCTAAAAAAAAATCTTTCAACTTATTTTTTGTAGAATGTTGTTAAAAATCAAGTGGAATTTTTTTTTTTCTTTCCTTCCCAGGATTGATTTAGGCAGATGAGTTTTAAAATTTGAACCTATAACTTAGAAAGCATTTTCAGGGGCTGGGGGCTTAGCTCAGCTGCATAAGCACCTGCCTTGCAAGCAGGCAGTCATGAGTTCAATCCCCGGTACCGATAAAAAAATGAAAAAGAAAAAAAAAAAGCATTTTCATTATAAAATAGGTAATTTTCCCCTAGGTTCTAAAAATGCTTTTTTACTAGAAACTGTTATTGCAGCAGTCTTTCCAGCCTTTCCTTGGTATTTTGTGTAGTGCCATTGGATACCTTTTTCACACATTTCTTTACAAAATGCTGGTTTTGACTAGTTGTAACTAGTTCTTAGAGGATTCACCCTTTGCTCTTTCTAATGTTTAGTGCATCTTCTAGATCAAACATTTGCTACTCTTCTCTATCTCTAAGTTTAAGGTTACTTTGCTTATCCTCCAGCTCTTCCTTTTAACCTTTCATTAAAATATCTATGAAGAAAAGGACACTTCCTGACTGATCTGTGTAGCTTAGCTATACTTGTACAACTCTCTGCTGTGTTTTTAAAAAAAGAAAAAAAGTTTTTCTTTTACTCATAGAAACTGGAAAAAAAGTAACATAATATTGAAAGTAAGGTAAGCACAGTATTCTTTTTTTGCTTTATGTTGTACATGAATTCTGATTTTGCTGTGAACATGGGTTACTTTTACACTTTAAAAACAAAAAAAGATTTAAAAAGAGCATTCTCCTCCCTCCAGAAAAGGAGAATGTTCTTTTTAAGTCTTTTTGAAATGGATTTTTTTTGGGGGGGGGGGGTCTTGTTTTTTTTCTTTTTTATCTGTACTGGGGATCGAACTCACGACTGCCTGCTTGCAAGGCAGGCGCTTATGCTTGCTGAGCTAAATCCCCAGCCCCTTGAAATGGATTTTTAAAATTTGTAAATTTTTTAAATGAGATTTTAGCTAGGCAGGGTGGTGCAAGCCTGTAATTCCAGCACTCAGGGAGCTAAAGCAGAAAGATTGCTGCAAGTTCAGTGCTAGCCAAAGCTATGTAGTGAGTTCAAGGCCAGCCTGA